AACACTTCACATCATGGTAGGCAAGTTGCATGTTGCAGCTCCTGACAGTGTTTCCCAAAATCTGTCATCGTTTCCACTATAGCAGCATAATTTCCTCTGCAGGAATTAATCTCCTTATTTGATTTTTATCTCACCTTCCTCCCAGGGTTTGAATGCAACATAGCTTCCAACATACTGTCAAACCAAACGTTCCAGTAAAAATGCAATGGCTACAGTGCAACATTCCCTTGTTGTTGTTGTGTACCTTCAAGTCATTGTTACAACTTATGACAGCCATAAGGCAAACCTATCATGGGGGTTTCTTGGCAAGCTTTTGTTCAGAGGTTTTTGGCCATTGCTATCCTCTGAGGTTGAGAGAGGGTGACTTGCCAAGGGTGACCCAGTGTGTTTACATGTCTGAGCTGGGATTTGAACCCTGATCTCCAAAGTTATAGTCCAATACTCGAACCACTTCAACACACTGGCAAAAAACCCCACTTGTGGGCATATGCTATGGCAGCATTACACAGCTCCCAGGCAGAGTAGCAACATTGTGCGACCCATGCCACTGACTGGATGCCATCATGCAATGCATAATGCACAACCGCAGTGCAAAGTATAGGATGCACAACCACAATGCACAATGCTCAACTTGCAAAGATGAGGCACAGATGAGCATGCTGTCTGCACAACTATGCATCAGTAGCTATCAGTAGAATATGTCCATTGTGCAATGGTAACTTTTTCGGTCCTACATACAAAGTGTGACTTATGCGTATGTCTGTGAATTCTGCTCAGTGCTTGAGATCCTATATTGAAATTGCATCATGTAATTCTCATGGCACAGAGCATGAATTACGCTATCAAAAACCTTGTGCTAAATGGCAACACTGTGCAACTGATTGCAGATAACAAATGTGGAACCGAAGGGACAACCACATTTGTATGTGCATTAATGGACAATATACAGTGCACACTCATGTGCCAACCAAAGTGCACATCTACAGTATGTAATGCACACTCATGTGCAATTCACATATGCATGAATAACAGCACTGCATGAACAACTCCACTTCCATAACCTTGAACTGAATGACCTTGAACTGAACATTTTATCTTGGACAAAAATGTTCCACCACTTCCTTGAGGAATTTGGCTGTAAAATTAAAACATAACAGTCAGCCCTCCAAATCCACTGATTTTTTTTTATCCATGGATTCAAGCATCCATACTTTGCAAATATTTTTAAAATATATAAATTCCCAAAAGCAAGCCTTGATTTTGCTATTTTTTAAAAAAATAAGGGACATGATCATACTTTGCCACTGTATATAATGGGACTTGAGCATTCATGGATTTTGGTATTCACAGAGGGGTCCTGGAACCAAATCCCAGCGGATACCAAGGGCCCATTGTTTTAAGATATGGATTCAATGAAGTACAAGATGAAAACTAAAAAGCCATTTCTTTATTTTTTAAATATTTTTATTAGTTTTAACACACTTAAATTAAAAACAACAATAAACAAAAAACAACTCGGCCATTCCTGCATCTC